TCACCCCCTAGGGTGGAAGGGGTGACTTGAAATTACGTGCGCTCTTAGTTCTTCCCATCTATAGTACACCCCTAAAATTTCAGATTTTTATATTCATTTTTGACGGAGATATTCCAGGTACCCAAGAGCTACTACAGTCCAACTCAAGCCTACCACACCACAAGTTTTTAGTTTTAAAATGTAAGGTTATGTTTGAAATTTGGCTTTATTGATGAAATGGCGGGAAAATTGATATATATCAGCTATTAACATATATATAATAGCTGATATGTATCAAATATTGATATATATCAATTTGTTATATATTTTCACTCACATCACTAGTGTTCGGTATTAACATCTAGATGCTCTAGATGTCTCTTCATCTTTTCATCTGTTGCAATTACAAAAGGACAAAACATCTCCAGAACATCCACTTCCTGTAACTTTGGACATATTTACTGGTTAATTGTAATGACAAATAAATACATTTACTGCACAATAATTCAAATTGACCCGCTGTATAACAACAGAGGAAAGTTGGTCCAGTTTGAACTTTTCAACGGCGACGCCACAATGTGATTAGCTTCAACCATCAAAACAAAAATATCGAGAGGGGAAGTATTCGTTTCAGCGTCGTCGGGATCTGCCCTAAGTTTTCTGAATTTGATATAAATATTTCACATGTTTACTTCACTCTAGTTGTTGCTAAATAAAGTTTTTATTTATTATGACGCTATGGGTAATCCAATTTATAGTAGAACACAAAGAACACAAGAAGTACCAACACCTGACATAAGTTTTTTTGCGGTTTGTAGGATGTGAAACCCTGGCTGCAGATTCGACTGCAGTAGTAAAATATTTCGGTAGATTTATTGACCGATAATCTGTCAAGTGCATCCCCCTGACCTTTGGGGGTGGTTTTGGGGAGTTGGTGGGGGTTACAGGGCTCGGTGACCATTGATAGTCTTAAGCGTAGTTATGGTACAGGTGTCTGTAGGTTCCATTACAGTAGTGAAATATTACGATAAGCTAATTGACCTGTAATCTGTCGAGTTCATTACCCTGATCTTTGGGGGTGGTTTAGGAGGATGGAAGGGGTTGTAGGGCTTCGTGCACACTGAGACTTTTGATCAGCATGACGAGGACTATCAAAATATAAGTTTCATAAAAATTGACTGGTGTTCAATTTCCATGTTTTGTGCGGGGTTCTTTCATTGTTGTCATGGTAACGACTTAGAAGTTATAATTGGAATTTGTTTTCAAACTTTCTTTGAAGGCGAATAACTCCACAACGAAGCCCTATAGGAAAAAAATTTATAAGTACTATATCTATTTCGATCTCCTCTGGATACCTCTTCATTTTTGACATGACCTTTCCGGACACCCTATATATAAATTATTGCAGAATTTCTCCGGGATCCTTTCCGCATTGAATCTGCATGATTTTCAAAAGAACCATTTGTTTGACGACGTTTCGGTAAAATCTCATTTACCATCTTCAAGGTCTCCCAAAATTCATGCAAGAAGTAATTTTTATAGAAAACATAGGTTATTAATTAAAAATTGTAAATTTTTTTATTGATTTATTAGAATAGCATATCAGGTAAATGGCCTCCAGAGATTTGCTGGTACATATACACTCTTTTGCCACAATTTTCCAAGACCATTTTGTGTAAATGCAGCTGAATTTCATTGATACAGCTCCTTTTGCGGGAATCAGCATGAGGCTAACCTCAAAGTTCATTCAAGGCTAAAAAATCGCACTTTAGAAAAAAATTTCACTTTTTTCGGTATTGAATTGAAATTTGCAAAAAATATGGCTACTTTTTTATTTGAAAAATCTGACTTCTAGTCTAGGTTACTTCCGGTCGGAACTGGAAGTTAAAAACTTCACAAATCGATCGGGCAAGGTCTATTTACTATGAATGTAATGTACAAAAAAGAATCATTGCTGTATTCTTACTATGAAATGTAAAGGGAAAAAATCAATTTTCGGGGGCCGTAGGTCCAAAACAAAGAACTTTTGAGACTTTGTGCCCATCGAGATTTTTGATCCATGTGATCAGAACTATCCACTTTTCATAGGGATTGTGTGGGGTCCTTTATATGTTAAAATTTTGGATTTGGTTCAAGAGATCTGCTTGTTAAATAAGCAGACAGTGGAAGGTCATAGGCCAATACTGACAGGGTGCTTCAAGGCTTTAAGAAAGAATTATATTTTCTCAATTTCTGAGAACAAATTTAAATCTAGTAACATTAGATTCTAAATACATTTAGGCTTTGGCGCGAAAGTTTGTGTTTTTATTTGGCTTGCATTTGTGTTAATTAAAATTCAAACGCATCTTGGAACTTGAAAATATTTTATTGAACATAGAAAGTGTTTTTTAACCTACAATATTTGGGGAATAAATAACATGTCTTACAATAAAAACTATCTTAATACTAAATTTATACTTTTAAATCTATGGATATAAAAAACTTGGAATAAAATAAATTACACTTTTTCTGTCCGTCAAGGCTGATCGTACTTTGTCAAATCAACAGTAAGGACCTGACTCACAAGGCAATCGGCAGGCTAAAAAAAAATATTGTTTAAAAAATCTTAATCTATTTTAGAATTGAGTAGTTTTCTTGCACTCAATGAAATTCGAGACATTTATGTCAATAGTTTTGACTAACTTGATATTTGTGTTAGTCTTAAACTTAAATTTTTTCGCTAAAATTTGTATTAAAGCAGTGGCNAAAAATATTGTTTAAAAAATCTTAATCTATTTTAGAATTGAGTAGTTTTCTTGCACTCAATGAAATTCGAGACATTTATGTCAATAGTTTTGACTAACTTGATATTTGTGTTAGTCTTAAACTTAAATTTTTTCGCTAAAATTTGTATTAAAGCAGTGGCATAAATATTAGTTATGCCAGAATACTTCGTCATCTTTATGACACTGATTAGAAATTAGGTTCAATTATTTCTATGTAAAATGTCATTTTATCCATGTTTTGGTATTCACATTTGTTCAACTGGACTGCAAGAACAAATGTATACTGTACTTAAAATGAATTTTTATGTACATAGTACTGATAGTAAAAATAATATACAGTAGAACTCCGATTATCTGGCTGCGGATTATTCGTGCTGCAGATTAACCGCGACAATTTTTGTTTCAATTATCCATGTTCCGATTTTCCGTGTAAACTACGAAAATAACCGAACACTCCGAGCGGTGTACGAGAAATCCTATATAACCAAATGCGTAAATATTTCGTGCGTGACTCGAAATTCGAATGCAGTCATCTGCAGTTAACATTGATGTGTACATCTATGTTTAATAATGGGACCGATAAAACGCAAATGAAATTTTTTAACTATACAACAAAAGCTTGAACTCATAAGAAAACACAAGCAAGGTGAAACTGCAACAAATTTGGTCAAATCTTACTTGATAGCAATACAAACTGTTCAAGACGTTAAGAATAAATATAAGTTTGAGCGGTTTGTAATAACGATAGCTTTACCAATGCTCATACGCGCAAAAGTACGAAGGGTTCAACGTATAAGGAATTAGATGAGGCAATGGCAAAATGGTTTTTACCAAAAAGAGCGGAGGGAGTTCCGCTGACAGGACCAATGTGCACACGGCAAGCTGAAATATTTTACAAACAATTAAATATGGAAGGAACCTTCAGTACATCAGCGGGCTGGCTACATCGGTTTAAAAAGTGCCATGGGATTCGAGAATTGGTGATTCAAGGTGAGAAATTAAGTGCAAACGAGGTTGGAATTGTAGAATTCTACGATGATCTAGAAAAAATCATTAAATATAATGATCTAAGATTGGATCAAATATATAACGCCGACAAAACGGGTTTGTACTGGCGTGCGATGCCTACAAGAACTTTAGCTGTGGGAACAGAGACTAGTGCTCCAGGTTACAAGGCAAACAAAGATAGAATAATAGTTTTATGCTGTGTGAATGCTTCTGGTAATCACAAATTAAAACTAGCTGTGGTGGGAAAGTCAAAAAATTCGCGAGTTTTAAAAAATGTAGACCAAAGTACGATGCCAGTTAAATATTACAGTCAAAGTGCCAGATGGATGAACACTGAAATTTTTAAAGACTGGTTTTTCAAACAATTTGTGCCTCAAGTTCGCATGTTTCTTACAGACAATAATTTACCCCTAAAGGCAATCCTCTTATTGGATAATGCACCATCACATCCAAGCATCAACATATTGAAGTCAAGTGATGGTAATATTTCCGTCTTTTTGTTTCAATCAAATGTCACATCCATCGCCCAGCCTATGGACCAAGGGATAATAGAATCAATGAAGCACCTCTACAGAGAAGACTTAATGATGAACTTGTTGACTGATATCGATCTCAAGAGCTTCTGGAAAAATTAAATATCAAGGATGCTATATATATGCCATTTCTAGGGCTTGGGATGGTGTGAAAAATACACATATAGCACGGGCATTTACGAAAATAATGACTATCGATAAAAGTGAGGCAGAAGAATTTACTCTTGCATCAGAATTATCTAGCAACGCCATACACACGATAGGTCAACAAGTAGATGAATTAAATGGAATAGAAGAGGCTGAAATTGAGGAATGTGTGTGATCAAAATGATTTAGGTTATCAGAAAATGACGGAAGAAATGATTGGTAAAAATGTGACACAACATGAAACAACAGATATTAGGGTGGATGACGTTGAGGAAGAAAATAGTGGCGAGGAAGAGGTAAAAATAACCCAGTCAGGCCATAAATGCAGTAGATACTGTGTTGTGCTATTTTGAGCAGCAAAAAGAAGTTGATGTCAGCATTTTACTAAATTTAAGAAAAATTAAGGACACTATAAAATCAAACTTGTTTGAAAAAAAAGTGCAAACAAAACTTACAGATAAGCAATAAATTATGTATTTAAAATCCTTTGAACAATAACCTGTATTAGAAGTATATTTCCGTTTTTTTATATTTTTGTACATAATGACCTACTTTTTTTTAACTGATGTTATGTATGTACCGGTTTCTGAATTGTAATATGCAAATATATATGTACATGTGTATGCCTAGAGGAAACTTTTTTATGTTTATGTATGTTTTGTTAATTTTTGATCCCCCCCATTTTATATAAAAATAAGATATGCGGATTATCCATGTTTTCAATTTTCCGGGTCAATCGCGGTCCCGACAGGCACGGATAATCGAGGTTCTACTGTAAAAAGATGTCCTCAATAAAAGTTGTACAAGGTCAGTTTCTCAAAATTATTTTCAATTATACAGGGTGTTCTATCTATTCTAGATATTATTGAACTTTAAATTTCATCAATGAAGCACCCTGTATATTATTGAATTTTTCAATTTCTTGTTGAATTTGATTTGATAAATCTATCTATCTACCATCGCTTACTTAACAGAACTAAAAAGAAAAAAGAAATTGCAATTATGGGAATTAGAAATTCCAAGTATTTTCCGGGGTTCAGTTAATTTTCTTTAGTTTATTCAGATAATATACTACTACTGTCTCTTATAGTTGATGATATATTTACTATTTTTCAGATTTTTGTTGCTAATTTCCACCTATAAGACGTTTTTCCCGAGTGAAGTTGTATGTTGTAGTATGTGTAGTATGAGCGAATGAAGAGATTTAAACTACCATATGATAACTAAGTTCAAAAGACATAGAAATAGTAACTACATATTCACCAATATTCAGTCACGAAAAAAAAGTCTTAAGAAATGCTTGAAAATTGTTTAGTGTTGTTACCTATTATTAAGGTAACCCTATATTAACAGGAAAAATAAAATCTTTATCTAAAAATCAATCCATAATGATTCCACACCTCATTCCTAGTTAAACTCAGTATTTGTTTATTACAATAGACTTTAAATTCAACGAGAAATATAAAAATACATACTACATATAGTATTCTAATTGCAAAACTGAAATATATAACACCTAGGACAAATGGCCCACCTTGTATACTTATTGAAAATAATTTTAAAAAGAAATTGATTTGGTGTAATTTTTATTAGGAACACTTTTTTGTATTCTTGAAGACAGAATTCGGAAAAATCCGCTTTAAATGGCACTATATATAGAAAAAAAAAATTGTTAATAATTGAAGAATGTATATTCTTTAATTTTTTTAAACAAGGTGTAATTTTAAGTAGGGGTTAATTTTTTAGAGGCAATGTACGTGCTCCTCAAAATATTAGTTTTTGTGAAATTCTTTTTTTTTAATCAAACAGTCGAGTTATAATAAAAAATAAATAGGAATACTAATCTGATTTATATGAAATATTTTTTTAAAAATCGTTTCAAGTTCTTACAAGCAATTATGTATTACTATTTTTTAAGCAGTTTTTTAATTTGTGACTCTCAGTGTCGATGACCTCCGACATTGATCTAGTTTAGCTGTCACTGTCAGAGTTTAAATTTAAGCAGAATCCAATACAAAGGGAACAGAGGTTAGCTAAGCTGTGGTGTTGAAATGCTATACCGCCTTTGAGATGTGGCAACTGCAAATTGTCTTCACACCTGGTATAACATGATGGGATGGTAAGTGGGTTTGTTACATTTTTATTTTAGTGTTCGATATTATCGGTTTACGGAAAGGTGTTGGTAAAGTGCCTCTGTGTGGTGCGTATTTAATTTTAAAATTTTTGTATATTATGAAAGAGCATGTATACGAATCAAGAAAAAGTTGATATGGTTAGAGCCTACTTTTTGTCCGGAGCAAACAGAAGACGATATCAGATGGATTATCCCAACTTATAAGTACGGAATAAGAAAATATTTGTAAGATTGGTTCAACATTTAAGAGATTACAGGGGCTTTGAAAGCCAATATCCTAATGTTGGACATGAACAAACTCAAAATGATTAAAAATGACAAATCATTTAAATATTTTTGCATATTTCATTTATCATGATTGATTACTGCTTGAGTTTTCCATTAGATAACTTTTTAAGTACTACCTATTTCATAGTTTATGCATGCGCTGCAATTAGCAAAAAAAATGGTTAAAAAAAATTAAGTTGTCACAACGGAATTTGAAAAAATAAACTATTGACAGGTGTTTCTAAAAGTCAAAGGTAGCCTACATATAAATATGACCCCCATTCAAAGTTAATGTTACGTTCTGTATAATCTTGATAGATTAAAAAGTAACTTTTGATGAAAGTGTAAACAAAAGTTCTGTCTAAGAGCATAAAAATTGCATGACCTTATGATAAATTTATTTTGTAATTACCTGTGGACAAATTCCTACGAGCGCATCAGCATGGGAATAGAACTCCTCTTTAAGAGATATTACAATGGTTTGTAAANCCCTCTAGCAGTGGCACAATTCGGGGGTGGCAGTTGCCTCCCCAGAATTGTCCCTCGAACACCTCTTACTCATGAGGGCATTCTATACCCCCTAGACCCCTGGTATGCCTTGCCACCTCAGTTAAAAAGCTGAAATTACGACTGTACCCTCTAGCCAGAATCAATTAACATTTTGATCTGAATACGATGGAAATACTTGTGGAATAAGTCAGAATATTATAACTCAGAATAAACTGGAATGTAGATGGTATAAAATGGAATACTTTTCTCTATAATGGCGCATTTTTATGCAGACGCAGAGATGGTGAAAAGAATTACCCCTCTATATATTCTTTCGTATTTGTGGTTGAGACACTGAGACTACAAATTTTCCTATCCTGCCTTTTCATATAGAAGCTGAGATGCTCAGACGCTGGTTTGACGTTGTTTACTGTATGTATTTGCACTGTATACTTGTTCAGATAGTTTTCGTTCACTTGATGTACGTAATAAATAATGAACAATTCGACGCTTTAGTACGAAAACAAGCTATCTCAAATTTCAGTTGGAAAACATGCTAACTCAGATCTTTTGGTAAAAACATGCTATCTCAGTGTGACTAGAATATTTTTAAAAAGGTAAGGAATGTTTATGTTCAGGTACACTGTTTATTTTATTTTTTTTTATTCAACATTTTTCAATTAATTTTGTTAAGTTACTGTTATAAATGACAAAATTGTTAATTAAAAAAATAAAATAATATGCAGTATGCTGCAACACGTACATTACTCGACGTTTTTTGAAATAACAAATTATAAAAAAATAGTGTATACTACTTTAATATATAAAAATGTTTGTTATTACTAAAAATTATTCGATTTTTTTCATACAAGTTTGCTTTGATATCAAAATTAATAGCGTACTCTTATATGATTTATAGTCGCTCCTTTTGATACACTTATTTTTCTTTTTCACAAAATATGGGATGCACAATTTATTCTGAAAATAATTTTGTATGCCTAAGGAGACTACAATAAAAAGAATAAACATAGTGGACCAAGCTAGGCCCCTAACTCCGGGTCCGAATCGTTTTTACTGCACCTCAATAAAAACAAGGTAGCCGCATCCTTGCATAGACTTTGGAAATGAAATGCAGGTATGCGACACTTTTATTACCGTTACCTTATGATCTGCTGATGATAAACATGTGTGCATGGGGAACCGCGGAAATGTGCACGTGCAATCATATGCGCCCGTCGGATCGATATATGTATACATATCATTCAACTTTATACATTATATTTATTTATATTCTGGTTATTATGTTAACTCTATTAACAAAAATAAGAGTAGTGACTATAAATCAGGTAAGAGTGCGCTTTTAATTTTTATATCAAGGCAAACTTGTATGAAAAAAATCGAATAATTTTTGTAANAGATATTCACCAATATTCAGTCACGAAAAAAAAGTCTTAAGAAATGCTTGAAAATTGTTTAGTGTTGTTACCTATTATTAAGGTAACCCTATATTAACAGGAAAAATAAAATCTTTATCTAAAAATCAATCCATAATGATTCCACACCTCATTCCTAGTTAAACTCAGTATTTGTTTATTACAATAGACTTTAAATTCAACGAGAAATATAAAAATACATACTACATATAGTATTCTAATTGCAAAACTGAAATATATAACACCTAGGACAAATGGCCCACCTTGTATACTTATTGAAAATAATTTTAAAAAGAAATTGATTTGGTGTAATTTTTATTAGGAACACTTTTTTGTATTCTTGAAGACAGAATTCGGAAAAATCCGCTTTAAATGGCACTATATATAGAAAAAAAAAATTGTTAATAATTGAAGAATGTATATTCTTTAATTTTTTTAAACAAGGTGTAATTTTAAGTAGGGGTTAATTTTTTAGAGGCAATGTACGTGCTCCTCAAAATATTAGTTTTTGTGAAATTCTTTTTTTTTAATCAAACAGTCGAGTTATAATAAAAAATAAATAGGAATACTAATCTGATTTATATGAAATATTTTTTTAAAAATCGTTTCAAGTTCTTACAAGCAATTATGTATTACTATTTTTTAAGCAGTTTTTTAATTTGTGACTCTCAGTGTCGATGACCTCCGACATTGATCTAGTTTAGCTGTCACTGTCAGAGTTTAAATTTAAGCAGAATCCAATACAAAGGGAACAGAGGTTAGCTAAGCTGTGGTGTTGAAATGCTATACCGCCTTTGAGATGTGGCAACTGCAAATTGTCTTCACACCTGGTATAACATGATGGGATGGTAAGTGGGTTTGTTACATTTTTATTTTAGTGTTCGATATTATCGGTTTACGGAAAGGTGTTGGTAAAGTGCCTCTGTGTGGTGCGTATTTAATTTTAAAATTTTTGTATATTATGAAAGAGCATGTATACGAATCAAGAAAAAGTTGATATGGTTAGAGCCTACTTTTTGTCCGGAGCAAACAGAAGACGATATCAGATGGATTATCCCAACTTATAAGTACGGAATAAGAAAATATTTGTAAGATTGGTTCAACATTTAAGAGATTACAGGGGCTTTGAAAGCCAATATCCTAATGTTGGACATGAACAAACTCAAAATGATTAAAAATGACAAATCATTTAAATATTTTTGCATATTTCATTTATCATGATTGATTACTGCTTGAGTTTTCCATTAGATAACTTTTTAAGTACTACCTATTTCATAGTTTATGCATGCGCTGCAATTAGCAAAAAAAATGGTTAAAAAAAATTAAGTTGTCACAACGGAATTTGAAAAAATAAACTATTGACAGGTGTTTCTAAAAGTCAAAGGTAGCCTACATATAAATATGACCCCCATTCAAAGTTAATGTTACGTTCTGTATAATCTTGATAGATTAAAAAGTAACTTTTGATGAAAGTGTAAACAAAAGTTCTGTCTAAGAGCATAAAAATTGCATGACCTTATGATAAATTTATTTTGTAATTACCTGTGGACAAATTCCTACGAGAGCATCAGCATGGGAATAGAACTCCTCTTTAAGAGATATTACAATGGTTTGTAAAGATTCCGTCTTCTCTCTAATATATTTAGCTACCTTTCCGATATTGGTGTTATCCAAAGCCGCATCGACTTCATCCAATACGAAGAACGGCGCCGGTTGATAGCTGTGAATGGCAAACAGCAGTGCCAGAGCTGCTACGGTCTTCTCTCCACCAGATAAATTAGACATCGGTTGAAAACGTTTTCCTGGAGCGACACAATTGTAATTTATTCCGTCTAGATACGGTTCTTCTGGATTTTCGGCACCTAGGAAAGCCTGAGCAGATTGATTCTGGGCTAAAGCTTTGTAGATGTTGTCTATTTCGTTAGAAACGTGGTCAAAGCATCTAGTGAACCGTTCGTATCTTTGCTGCTTAATCCGTTCAAAGGCAGCTTTGGCTTTTTTGTTGTGTTTTCTAAGATTTTCGAATTCCTCTTGGGTAGACTTCAATTTGCCTTCTGCGAGCTGGAATTTTTCTATGGCCTTCATATTGGGAGCTTGGATTTTTGTTAGGGTGTCTTGTAAGTTATGTATTGATTTTAAAAGTTTGTCGGCAACTTTTTTTATTTCATCTCTCTCTTCTAGGTCTTTTAAGTTATCGGATAGCATACTGTAGTCAATCTTTATTCTGCAAAGACAAAATTATTTAACATTATGAAAAAAAGTATTTTAAGTTCTTTACAATGCTAATATGGTGAGTAAAGTACCACGGTTCATAGTTCAAAAGTATTAAAGAATTCCCGGACTTTTCCAGGCTTTCCCTGACTTATAAAAAAAAATCCAGGTCACTTGTAGTTCATTTTTACATACTAATTGGTGTTTATGCAATAAACCCTGACATTCATGAATATTTTTAAAATTCCCTGACTATTCAGTTTTTCATGAAGATTAACGAATTCCCTGACTTTTCCCGGTATTTCCGACTGCTACGAACCCTGGGTACATGTAATATGAGGAGGTGGGTAAAGATCAGCCATTTTTCGCCTATCATAGTCAACAAAATTCAAAGTTTTGATTAAAGCCATTTTATTATATTTATATGAATAAAATAATGCTTTATTTCTGTAGATCATGTAAAATACAATACAGGGTGTCCCATAAGTACATGATCAAAAAGGTTCTGCGACATTCTTTGACTCAAAAGAAGACGATCTGACCCAACTTCCATTAAGAAAAAATATCTAGCTCTGCTATTGACTGTCAGTTCTTGAAAAAAATATATGTTTTTTGCAATATCTGGAGAATGTTACTATGGATTTTAATGAAACTTGCTGTGGACTTATTCCTAAGTAAGACTCATGTTTTAATGAAGTAACCGCGTCCATCCGCCTTGGGCAAGTGGTAAATTATTGAATGTTTTGGTACAAGAATTACCAGAACTTTTTTATTGGTCTCTGGAATCAATTCATTTTTTTTTTTATTGATGCATCAGTCCTTTTTCGAGATTTCCATGCTCTTGGTAAAATCTTGTAACATTCATAGTTTTTACGCAAAAAAAATATTTTTTGTTCTGTTGTGACAATTTTAGTCGTTTCACAGTAAATCTGCCCTTTCACAAGAAGCGGCATTCTCTAATAAGTATAATAATAATAATAATATTTATTAGCCAATACTAAAAAAAAAATCAACAATTTTCACAAGTGTATACATCCTCTAGCTCCGTGTCAGTTCCAACACGACACAAAGATACACACATTCAAAACAGAACGGAATACAAAATTTTATTACTAAAATACTTGAAACACATATTTCTTTAACATACTTTTAAATTTAATATGATTATCACAATTCTTTATTATATCTGGTAATGCATTAAACATGTTCAACCCCCTATATAAAATTGTTCTATNCCGGGAAATTGATTTTGAAATTCTATGAAACATTCCTCAATAGAATACTTCCATATTCCATCAATCTTGCGTCCATTTCTAAAGTAGGACTCTATGATAAACACTTTTTGTTCTTGAGAAAACACCATTTTAAACGCTTTTTAAAACGAAAATATTCAAATTGATAGCAGCGATATAGTGCTTTGACAGATGACGTTTAAGTTCAGTTGCTATACGCTATGCCCTACGTCCAAATTTTCAGAACCAACTTGACCACGTTTTTATTTGAACGCTCGTTATTTATATGAATAAAATAATGCTTTATTTCTGTAGATCAAGTAAAATACAATACAGGGTGTCCCATAAGTACATGATCAAAAAGGTACTGCAACATTCTTTGACTCAAAAGAAGACAATCTGACCCAACTTCCATTAAGAAAAAATGTCTAGCTCTGCTATTGACTGTCAGTTCTTGAAAAAAAAAAAAAAAATGTTTTTTGTAATATCTGGAGAATGTTACTATGGATTTTAATGAAACTTGCTGTGGACTTATTCCTAAGTAAGACTCATGTTTTGATGTAGTAACCGCATCCATCCGCCTTGGGCAAGTGGTAAATTCATGAGTGTCTTGGTACAAGAATTACCAGAACTTTTTTATTGGTCACTGGAATCAATTCATTTTTTTTTATTGATGCACCAGTCCTTTTTCGAGATTTCCGTGCTCTTGGTAAAATCTTGTAGCATTCATAGTTTTTACGCAAAAAAATATTTTTTGTTCTGTTGTGACAATTTTAGTCGTGTCACAGTAAATCTGCCCTTTGACAAGAAGCGGCATTCTCTAATAAGTATGCCAATTCTTTTACGTAAGAATCAATATTGAAAGTAAAATGGTCACAATTTTAAAGTCTGTCATGATGCGACGGATTGAATAAGTATCATTTAACTTCATTAGATTTATTTTTTGTTAGCGCGCAAAAATGTAAAGATCTACTTAGGAAAGACATAATTCTCTTTATTGAAACTGGATGATAGTTATAAAAATACGATAAATAGTTACAAAGATTCGATAGATGAATTAAAAACATGTTTGATATGCCTGCCATTTTTTTGGATGCATAACTGGATCCTTTGATTAAAATTAAATTGAGCCCTCCTCAACATTTCTGGATCATTCCGTATTACGTCCGCCTCGTTTTGAATCCTCCGTAATAATTCTTCCTGGGATTCCACAGGAGTGGCGTAAACTTTATTCTTTAGGGATCCCCCATAGAAAAAAATCTAACGGTGTTAAGTTGGGGGATCTGGGGGGCCATCGACAGGAACATCTCTCCCTCTTCTTCCGATCCACTTGTGTGGAAAAGTATCATTTAAAAATGCTGTTACATCTGCACTAAAGTGCGGAGGAGCACCATCGTGCATGAACCACATCTGAGCACGAAGATCAAGAGGGACATCTTCCATTAGAATCGGAAAAGTATACCTTAAAAAATTTAGATAATTTTCGCCATTCAAGCGGCGCGGCATGACATAAGGACCCAGAACGATGTCACTGATGATCCCGGTCCAAACATTTATTCAAAATTCCACCTGAAAGTGGTTAATATGCTTCGCAAGAGAGTTTTCTTCTGTGTAATGGTGGAAATTACATGAATTAAAGACACCACCTCTGGTAAAACCAGCTTCATCAGTGAATAAAATTCTGCTGGTGAAATTTGGGTCACGTGCCCGTGCTCCTTCAATAAAGCGGCAAAATTGAAGTCTCGTCTCAAAATCGTGTGGGAATAGCTCCTGAATAGATGTCGCATGATAAGGATGGAGAAGTTGCTGTCTTATTATTCGATTAATTGTACTTTTTGGTACTCCAAATTCCATTGCCAGACAGCGAGTACTGATATTTGGATCTTCAGCGACCCTATTTAAAACGTCTTCGTCAACGGTTGCATTTCGAACTTGAGGACGACCCACACGGTCAACGGCTCGAACTCCAAATTGCCCAGTCTCCCGCAAACTCCTTTCAATCCGTACAAATGTCCGGTAATCTGGAACCCGTCGATTTGGGTATTGCGCCACGTAGACACGTACACTCTCACGCATGTTGTCTTCGCAAAACCCTAAGACTTTGACCATGTCGGTCATCTCTTCGTTAGAAAACGCTATTTGAGACGAATATGTCGGACTGTCCGATCAACGTCAAAAGTTTGACAATTCATTTATTATAAAATGACATCATCGCTTACTACAATAGTAGTGAGTAGTTGTTGTACTTGAGTAGTAGTAATATTGAATGTCTAAAATTGAAAACATTTTTTTTGCGTAAAAACTATGAATGCTACAAGATTTTACCAAGAGCACGAAAATTTCGAAAAAGGACTGATGCATCAATAAAAAAAAATTAATTGATTCCAGTGACCAATAAAAAAGTTCTGGTAATTCTTGTACCAAGACATTCAAGAATTTACCACTTGCCCAAGACCCGACATTGCAGCAAGTGTAAATATTATGAGTCAATATAATAAAAGACCTTTAATAACTGACTGGACCGAATTAAAGAGGATTATCCACTACCTGAAAGGCACAAAGGATTACGAACTAACCCTCGGCCATAAAGATAAAAATTATGCGCTTGTCGGCTATGCAGACGCAGATTGGGCGGAGAATAAAAATCATCGAAAATCCAATAGTGGATATGTGTTCCAGTTCGTGAATGTGACAATTAGTTGGGCATGTCGAAAGCAAACGTGTGTAGCGCTGTCATCCACTGAGGTCGAATACATTGCCTTAGCAGAAGCATGCCAAGAAGGTATCTGGATATGCCGTCTATTAAAAGATTTCATAGAAAAGGAACCAGGAGCAACAACCATGTATGAAGACAACCAAAGTTGCTTGAAGCTAATAAGTAACAAAAGATCAAGCAACCGTACGAAACACATCGACACAAAGTATCATTTCATTAAGGATTTACAAGAAAAGGGTATTATTAGTATGCGAATAACCACTAAATAAAGTTTAATAGACTATATGCCTATTATTTGCAACAAGAACCATTTTATATTACCTGGCTTCCTTTTCATATTGCTGTGCCGTACTATTTGTATCTCCTGCAGATGATGACTGGGACGGGTCAGATGCTACAATGTCTTCCATGTTTCCAACAATCATGGGAATGGCAATATCATCCATCTAGCGATAAAAATTTTAAAATTACGTATGCATATACCAAATTTGACAACTGAGTAAATTCAACTTACTTTGCACTGCATAAGGATGGTGTGCCTCTCACTCTTTTTACTTTCGATTTTACCTTCCAAAGATACCACTGCTTTCTGGGCGGCCTGAACATCTTTGGCAATGGATCCCACTTCACGTCTTGATTTACCCACTTCTTCCTCCGCCGCTTCGACTTCCTGTTTCTTATTTAAACGCAGTGCTTTCAGGTGTTCAACTTGCTGCAGGTCTTTGTCTATTTCGTCTCTCTGTTTCGCTTCTTGCTTTTTGCAAGTCTCCAATTTCTCCTCTTCGTCATTAACAGTACGTTCCCAACGACTGACGTTATCTACAGATTAAAACAGTCTTTTGAATAATAATTGCACTTATTTGAAAAAAAAACTTACTCTGCGTATCACGGCTTTTTTCAAACTCCAGATTGCTCGTAATTCTGTTTATCTGCTTCTCAAATTCCAACCTTTTCTGCTTACGTTCTTCTTGTGCACGAAGTTCCCTGTCTTCGTACTGTCTTATATTGCGCACACCTATTTCCCTGCAGAAGTCTGAGAAAACTACATCCTCCAAACTGTTCATCTTCAATTTGATCTCTTCTATCTGCTGCTCACGAGTTTGCATACTCTTCTCGATGGCCTCTATCTGAGGTCCATATTTTTTCATTTCATCGTTCAAGTGAGTCAATTCCTTTTCAACCGCATGAATTTGCTTAGTCTAAAAAGTACAGAAACATGAAAATATATCCAAATTTATAATTATTATTTACACTTACCGTGCTTTCCATGTCAGTTCTGGCATATCTTAACCTAGTTTCAAGCCCACGTATTTGGGAATCCACTGTATTCAATTCAGATTCCTTACGGGACTTCTTCATCGCATCCCTTAATTCTTCTGTTAGTTTTTCCTGTAAAGCGACAAGTACATTGAAGTAATATTTTATGTGTAAAAATATTTATAGACTAGGCGGTACCTGTTTTGGTTTGGGTGAATCGTGTATCCACGGAGATTTTTGGCTTTTTGGCTTTCAAATATCACTAGAAATGAAAATTTTTCTATGCGCATAAAAAAAAACCTGGGCTTCACGTTTGGCGGCACAATATGTTAAAAAAGTTTGAAAAATGTCATATTTTTCTTCCTATTTAATTATGTACCTTTCAAGAGTTGATTTTAGGCGAAAATGGTAGAGGAAAAAATAAATGTTTGTAATTAATTTTTTTACAAAATATGACTAGTTACAAATCGAATGAATGATGATTATTATCGTAAAAATCAAAATAAATCGCCAAAATTGGGGTTAAAAACATTACTTTTTAGGGAATTTTTTGGGGTCTTTAAATTGGGTATAGGACCTTCATATTTGGCTCAAGAAAACTTCATGTTATGTAGAATCATCACACCAAATTTCATCAAAATCCAATTCCATCAATTAGAAGAGCTCTGGCGCTTATTTAAACATTGGTCGAATTTTTGTACTTATAAACAACTAGCTTTTACCCGCGGCTTCGCTCGCAGTGATAAAAAATCTTCCGTAAAAAATTATTTTTTTTAATAAAAAGTATCCTATGTTATTTCTAATACCTTCAAGAATATGTGTACAAAGTTTTATGATGATCGGTTAAGTAGTTTTCGCGTGAAAGCGTAACAAACAAACTTACATTCACATTTATAATATTAGTAGGGATTATTATTATTAGTAGGCTTCGCTCGCGGGTAAATAAATATAGAAAAT